TTTCAGAGGTCATACTGCCTCCGTCATCAGGGCGATGAGTATGAAGATTTCTGTCTTCTGGGTTGTTGCGCTGTGTAGTCTGGTCGATGTTTACCAACGTTTCAGAGGTCATACTGCCTCCGTCATCAGGGTGATATTCATCACAACAACCCAGAAGACCGAAATCTTCATATTATATCTTATTTTCATAACGAGAAACATTGTTTCCAAAACCTTTGTGTCGTTGTAACACTGATAATTGCCCCTGGAACAGTGTTTGAACGGAAATACAGTTTAGACGTCGATATTTTGTTAGAGGATTTTATTTAATTTCGTTTGGTGGATCGACCGGGCCCAAAGTTTCTGACCATATGGGAAAACATGAACACGTTCGGGATTTGAACACGGGAGCCAAGTGCTCGGCGGTTTTAAGACGGTTTGTAACTTATTCTCGAAGTCCTTTCGTTTTCGTCAAGGTGTCTCCTGGAATATATCGTTTCAGTTTTAAAGGGTAATCACGAAGCTTTCGTTAATGTACTCACATATGTTTGACTGTGGCGGTCTCCAGTATAGTGCGCTCTCAACCTCCTGTCCCCAGATCAGTCTGTTACGAGATTCGTCAGACATTTCCGGAGCTACCTGGGTGAGAGCTACAGCATATCTCCTGGATAGGTGGTTAAGAACGAGTCGAACTGCCAGTGAGGGCAGTATCCTCGTGATGTAACCCCCGTCTAGCTGCCAGAGGGACGCCTGGTAGATCGCAGGCTGCTTCTGCCGAGCCTCGCTTATTATCCTCTGTATTTCTTGAACACTCTCTCTAGGATCGTCGTAAACCGGAGAGGTGGGCAGCGGCAAGCATATTAAGCCTCTGCCCGATGGTATCGGCGGTCTGTCGTCAACTCGCGAATGTCTCATCAACCCTTCCAATGGAAAGAACCTAGCTGTAGTGAGTACCGATTCTGGAACTGGTAAACAGAACTGTCTGAAATACTCCCTCAGTGCACCGGAAATTGCACTTACTAAGATTTCAGTTGTTGAGGCCCCAACAGACGAGCTGATTTTACGGATAATATCAAGAGAAATCGGATCTGACCATGCAACTACTTTCCGTCCGCATAGTGAGACTGTTTGAAGCTGGTGTTTCGGACCGTGATGGGATATTATGAGTTCTTGTATCAGCATTCTTGGGGCTGTGTAGATGATGGTCATTATACAAACCGCTTCCTTGATGGACGCTAGAAACAAAGACCAGTAATTAAATGAACTTTCTGCAGTAGTTTCAGAGAAACTATAATTTGTTTTCCTAGATACAAGAGCCCAGAATTCTGTGATTGCAAACAGAGGCACTGTTACTGCGCAGATATAACCAGTGCGCCAGAAAACACTCAACCACGAAAAGAACAGTTGTTTTGGCCTCAGTGAATTAATTATACCAACGCTGAGGAATTTTGGAGTGCACTGACGTTTCTCTACTTCAGTTAGAATCGTCGAATTTATGTTTAAGATCTTCCTGTAGAGTGACATGTCTGTCTTTTTCGCGAGAAACAGCAATTCCTTGAAGATGGACACCGCCGTTATAAAAATGAGAATGGTGCACGTTTGGATTCCCGGTGGAGATTTTAGTATCTGGGGGTTTTGTGCGGGGTCGTACGTCGCTACTATCTGGGTCCAGCGGTGCGTAATTAAATCACGGACGATGTTGTATAATCTGGGGATCGCGACGGGTGTCGGGGACAGTCCTGTGAGCGGGCTGTTACTGCTGGTTGGCTCGTCGTCTGTGGGATTTTCATCATCTTCGCCAAGCCGTCTCTTGAATATGGTAGGTCGTTCGGGTTCGAGCAGCAGAAGGTCACCCAGCCCAAGACAATCCTCTGACAACAACAAGTGATGGATTCGGACCAACAGGTAGAAGCGGTCTTCGGTGCCGGCGTTGGAGGGAATGATTGTTATCTGCCAGGGCGACAGCTCGTGAGGAAGGTACTTCGACACAATGTCGCTAACGCATTCCTGTGGGGGGAAAAAAGGAGCTCTTAAACACGGATTTGATTCAGTCCATAGGTTCTGCTCGATGGTGCGTTTTAATCAACACGAGTGATAAATTTATTTATAGTTCATCGTCGTAAGTTTCTCTCGAACACAAAGTTTTGGAAACTGTCCACAGGTGAAAAAATGATTACCACCTTCTGAGATGTTGTGTCGTGTATAAATTGACGTTTCAGAGACGTTTCAGTAAATAAGATACGCAGCTTGTGATGTGTGCAACAGAAACTTACGTGATGCAAACGCCAGAGTAGATGAAAACTGATACAATTTCAAACAAATGACTAGGGTTATTATGAAGTATTCTGGAGGAGATAAACTATTTTCTTTTGCAATTTTTACAAGACCGAGACTCGGTATCCAAGTCGTATTGCATTTTTCGCATGACGGTTGAGGAAGTGTTATGTCTCACCTGTATATTCCAGTCGTTAACACTTCTGCCACGGAAAAGAGCGCTGCCTACAACCAGATGATTGTCTAAGGAAAATGAAGACGGTTTTTCCCATGCGTAGCGGCCCCACCGGGTTGTCAGTGCTGTCTGTAGGTGGGGGAACATTAATTTCCCTTCATTATCTCTTCTGTTTAGTATATTTTCCTGTGACAAGACAGTACGATTATGTCATATATTGCCAGTTGCTGTGTTGGTATGATTCCTTAAGATATGAGGTACAGTAGAGTGCCGATTATTATCAGACCTAAACTGGACCTAAGGTCGGTCGCATAATCGAAAATGTCTGATTTTTGGTATACTGATGAAAACGACTAGGGTAAATATTAATCGAATTTACGATATTATTTAATTACGAAAGAAATACAGTAGAGTATCAAATGGAAAAAAAAGTCACAAACGAAAAACAGTATTTAACATAATGTAAATTTGTAAATGAAAGAGTTTTAAGAAATTGGTAATGACTTTTTGCACGGCAAGACAGAACAACGGAATATCGAATAACTGGGACTTGGACAGTATATTCTTCTTTGCCTGATTTCCACTCTGGCCCCCCTCGTCTTTTATTTCCAACTGACGTGGACTGTTTCGTCCAGACCAATTGTGTTATAGTGACAGTGTTCTGTGTGGAGATGCCTTACCTCCAGCCTTTGCTTAATCAGCGCCAGTTCGAACTTCCCCTTGACCGTCAGGAGCAGCGTGACGATGCCTTGGTTCCTCATGGTGTCCGTCGCGGTACGGAGCGTCATGTTTCTTACGAACTCTAAGCTCGGAAACCTTCTCTTCAGGAGTCCCAGCCAGAATCGTCTAGCACTGGTCACAGCTATGAGGATAGAAACAGCTTATTTGTGGTCTTCTTCATTGTGTTTACTTGCAGGTGGTTACCAACGATTCAGAGAAACTTTACCATGAAGATGGAATCGATAAATTTCTCCGAAACGTTAGAAACCTACAAGGCGACACGGTATCACAAGCCAGAAGACCATATACGAGGTGCGATCGGAAAGTTTCAAGACTGTGTCAATAGAGGGCGAACCGGATGTAGTACGAGCTTCTGCCGCTAGGGGGTGCGGCCTACATTCATAGTGAATCAGTGTGCCAGCCGGCATCATCGAATTAGCATTTGTTTCTTAGTTACGGGCGTTTTGGTAGTGCATTACACCGACCCTCCTGCGATTTCGGAATGGCGGATTTTCATGAACAAATCAAATTTTGCCCATGTTTCTTTATTACAAACCTGCCTCCATCTTCTGTAACCTTCTTGTAAAAAATTTCGAACATACTCACTCGTACGTAGCGTGGAAAGAGTTGATATTGTTTATGGGTAGTATAGTGTTCCTATGTATGAAACATATTTACCAATGCATAAAGCGATGGCACCAGGCACGAGGCAGCATCCTGCCGTGAAGGCGAGGAAGGTGTACATATGGTTGGCTAGATCCATAAACTCCTCCACTTGGCGGAGAAGCCAGTGTCCTCTTGAAACCATCTCACGCAGCTGTGACCGGGTTCCTGTGAGTCGTCTTCCACTTCTGTACCTGCGTTACAACACTTGTGTAGGAATTGGGTTACCCAGAGACACTTGGATGTGTAATACTTGCGAAGTTGCCTTCAGGAACGCATCAGACAAATGTTTTTCTCGACCAGCACAAGTATAAGTTGCTTTTATATACAATTTTAATTAATTTACCAAGGACTGACTGTGAAGATGTCTGGGCTGTCTGCTAGGATGCACGGGCCTTGTAGTCTGGTAGATATTGATTCAGAAGGTCGCT